CCCCAAAACCCCAAAACCCCAAAACCCCAAAACCCCTAAAAGAAACGAACAGATTGAAATTATAGTTAATTTTAAAACAGGTGAGTTTTAAGAATAAAGTGAAATATTTCTGAAACATGACTGACGAATGGTTTGGAACTCCTTTGAGGGTGGAGAGGTTGGCAGAGAGAGAGGGCTGGGAGGGGTAGAGGGGATAAAAGAGATTTTGGGGAGATTGAGAGGTTTTGGGGGTTTGACGGTTTCAAGTTAACTTTTTGGTAGGAAAATGAGCGCAATTCCCCAAATACAGCAAATCTTGATTGATGGAGTTGAAGGATCAACACTTGTGAATGTAAGTGATTATTGTTAGATTTTGTGTTTATGGTTAGTGACCAGAAGTTGTTCACCAGCACTTTTTGTTCTTCTCACTAATTCTAATGCAATTATCTAGGTTGATTATAAAATTGAGACCTGTAAGATCACTTACAAAGCTTTATTGACGACAAGAGAAAGTGGAGAGTAAGATACATCTTCAACTCATCTTATTTCCCTCCTAATAGCTATTTAAAGGGTATAAATTTATCAACTTGAATACAAAATTTTCATTCTTTTTAACAGAATTTCTTTTTGGTGGGATCCTTCTACTTTGCTCAGAAAAGTTTCTAATGGAGATTATTTGCAATATTTAACTGAAAAATTCTCTCTAAAACATCATCCAGAGACTTATAACTTTTCTATTATTTTCTGGAGACCAATTTTGAAGTTTGAAATATTGGATGAGAGCTATATTACTCTCAAAATATGGCACTCCGCTTTCATTACAAAAACTTAAAACTTCGGATGTTTTCGATCTAATATGGCTGATAGAAATGAAACCAGAGATGAATCAAATGAAGAATTGGTAAGTCCTTACCTCTAGCTCCTTTATTCATGGCTAATAAACAAAAAGAAAAGCTAGATTTGTAAATATCTTCTTCAGAGTGTTATTTCCTACATTTCTGAATTCTAAGATATCTGTTCAATTGCTCAGTATTGAAGAGTTCATCAAAATTATTTTGTCAGACCTTCTAAAATTTTCTTTATAGAAATGAGACACTAGCACAGATATTAGCTTAAAAGATGATCTAGTCAAGACAAAGACTTCAAAGGTCCCAAGTTCAACTGAAACGTGAGTAGCAAAAGTGTTTGTAATATTTGACGATTTTTGAAACAAGATTAACCCTTTTATTAACTATTTGGCTTAAAATTTCAGTAAAGACGAACTGAATCATTGAAAATAATTAGATAGGCCGCTCATTGCTTTGTTTCCATTAAAGGTTTCAATTATTACATTCAGGAATTCTGAGCAAATATAGAGAAATCAACATCAGCCTAAACTACATTAGTGAGGACAATCTAGCTTTCACTTTTATTCAAGGAAGAAGTCTTTCAGAAATGGAAATAAATGATGAAGAGCACACAAACATATGCAGATACTTATCTGACCTTACGAACACTTCAGATGGCATGAGTTATACCATAGTACCTGATGGTCAGAAACTAAGCTCTCATAATTTCAGTGAAACCAGTGCTAAAGATTTTCACTATAAAGGAAGTTCTTCGAAAGACTTCCAAAAGAGGCATAGTACATATAAGCTTAATTGCCAATATTTCACGACAATGAAAATAAATGAAACTGGCGAGGAGCTAAGGAGTCTCAGGAGCTTTAAAATTATCCCTGAATGCATTGAATATCTTCTCAAAGACAAATTTTCCCTCTTGGATAGAGCTGTAAGAGGAATAGAAGTCCAGTTAGACCAAGAAGATGTAGGAGACTTTTTCTCTTCCTCCACCTTAGCTATGCTAGCAATTTAGATAATTCATTAGACTCAATATTAAGTTACCTCTTGGGGTTTTGGGGTTTTGGGGTTTTGGGGTTTTGGGG